CTAATGTTATATATGAAAGCCTTCTTAATTTTTACACTATAATGATGACATGACATAGGAAATCCCTTATGAATATATGCTATGTCCAAGAAGAAAGTATAGTTTCTGTTAGATGTTGTTAAGAAACTATACTCTTCTCTGTGACAGTTCAGGAAAGGTAATGCAATACTAATAACTTTACTTTATTTTACTAAGAGAAGATAAACCTTGCCTGCAAGAATTACTCTAAAGAGGAGTATTAATACAGTTTATAGTCAAAAGCCTTTTATTAAAGTAAGAACAAATAGATGTGGGTCCTATAGCTTAGTGGTTAAGCTCCCATGCCCCACAGTCAAAGTCAATGGTTCAAGTCTGACTGAAGGCAAAAACTAAAAAGATTTTAGCCTTTGTAACCCAATAAGGAGCCAGTAATTGAATGTGAAGCCCTGTGGTTAAGTCCAAATGCAATATATGACTGAAGTAGAAATTCTTAGAAAGAGACCCAATCATGAAGTGTAGGCACTCTGTGTAACAAGTGGCTATTACAGAAGGTTACGGTTATGGAAAGATTGCACATATAAGTCCTTTAGGCTAGGGCAGCACCAACATCCCTATACTTCCTAATTAGGTAGTACCAACATCTCTGCATCCAACTTGTGGAGTACTTGCTTGGAAGGATAATTAACAGATTGTGCAAATAAGTCCTAATTGGAACCCAAGGAAAAGGATTTGATTGGGAGAGTAGTCTGGAAGTAACTAAGACTAGAATGGTGAGAGAAGTAGTAAACATGAGGATGGACTGTGAAAAAGGATTAGCTTTATCAAGATTGAAAGCACCTCTGGCACTATAGAACATCCTGATATTGAAGATAGCAAATGTATAGAAGAAGTAACCTGTTCTGTATGTCTAAAGGTACCAAGTTGGAGCTCTGATCACACCTATATGGAAGTCTATGATAATATAAGGATAAACATACTAATATGAATGCTACATCAATCAAAGTTGAGATACCTCAAATTGGAAGTAATAGTAATATTATAATGATGACAGCTGGAAAAGGTAACTTGCAAAACAGGTTTGGACTATTACCATAAAAAGGAGTACTAAAGGGGCAAGTTAGTTGCACAATTCATTGAAAATAATATTAAGACCAGAAGAGTGCAAACCAGTAGTGGCAGCAGGAACCTGGCTTGAGATATGTGCTACTAGTATCTGAATTGAAAAGTTAGCAGCAGCAGCAGGACCCTGACTTGAGATACGAACTGTAAGGCATTGTTTTGGCAGACCAAAGATGATAGCTCATAAGAAATAAATGACCTAGTAGACCAATTTGTAAGTTGTTTAAATAGGTTATGAGACATGGAGGGAATATGCAAGTTATCTAATATAGATGGATGTGAAACAAAAATCCAGATTATGTGTAAGTGGGATACAAGATTAGTTCTGATAGGTTTAGATTACAGATAAATTAGTCTGAGTCTTATTTTTTAATTAGACATATAGTAATAGATAATGTATAATATAAAAAGTTGTACAAACTGTAACAATATGTTCGAATAAACAGACTTGAGGCATGACCTCACCTTAACTTCAAAAAAAAAATTATAATTTTTTTGATATTAGATTTAACTTTAAAATTTTCCTGTTTTTTATAGCAAATAATAGTTTATATTATATTATATACTTCAGTAATTGTTACAGATAAGTTGGACACTTTATCTTCATTTTTAATTTCTTGTTCAGTTAGCTTTTTTTTATTTTTATTAGCTTGAACTGTAGCAATGATTTCTTCATTATTAAAAATTTTTTTTGTTACAATGGATTCATTAACTATTTGTACATATATTACTATAGTCTAAGACATTTTAGGTATATATAAACTCTTATTGGATAATTTAGCAATAATTTCCTCAATTTCATTATTATCTAAAAAAATATCATTTTTAGCAGACTTATCTAAGATGTATATTTCTAATTTATTTGCATTTGGAAGAATTTCTGTCTTATACTAACAGTTTTGTATAGTAGTATTATTTATTTTGTTTTATGAATCTGCAATAAAAATAACATCTTGAGTATTATTTCAAGATAATACAGTAAAGTATAATAAGTGTTGCAATTAAAGCTAAGAATTGTTTTAATTTAAATCTTTAAACTAAAATTTATATTTTTAAAATTAGGTTAAGATTTAAAACTAAATTTGTTATGAAGAGAATGTAAGTATTTTTAATAGGATTTTTAATGAAACCTAAACTTTGCTTAAACTGATTTTAGTTTTAGTCATACTAATAGTTATACAAACTCTTTTATGTTGACATCAAATTTGAATTGCCTAAAGACATATTTACAATATATATACTTATATTTTAATTTAAATAATTTAATTATACTGGCATCTATCAGCTAAATGTATATAGTTGTATTAGATAGAAGGTAATGCAAAGTAATATTTAATAGTTTTAATGTATTGGAAAATTTTTCTTATTTTGTAGTTATGAGAATTCAGTATAAGAAATTTGTGGCTTTTTGCATAGCCTTTCTTATAGTCTTCCTCATAGCTTTTGCTATTTTTTAATTATTTTATTACTTATATCTTGCTGTTCATTATTTTTATCATTATTTTGCGAACTGAAAAAACCATTCATTAAATCTTCTTTATTTTCACTATTTAACTAGAAATTATTATTATTTATATTATCTATATCATTAATACTATCTTTTTTATTAGGTGATTCAGAAAAACTGTGAGATAAAGTATTATCTACAAGAAGCAAAATTTTTCAATTTTGAATATAAAAGCCATCATTAATATAATATAACCATTTTTCCAAATATCTAATTTCATTTATGCTTATTTGTTATTTTTATAGATTACTAAAAACTGTAATAATCTTATATTACTAAAACTCTGCAATTTTTTTGAACTTATAATAACACAAAGCTAAAGTTTATATAAACTAATTGCATTTGTAGCAAGTAGTACTATAAGCTGTAATTTATTTTGTAATAATATGATTAAATGAAAAATTAATAACATCATGATACTATTGTTATAGGTGAAAGCTTTCTTAATTTTTGCATTATAATGATAACATGACATAGAAAATCCCTTATGTGTATATGCAGTGTCCAAGAGGGAAGTATAGCTTCTGTTAGACATTGTCAAGAAACTATACCCTTCTCTGAGACAGTTCAGAAAAAGTAATGCAATACTAATAATTTTACTTTATTTTACTAAGAGGAGATAAACCTTGTCTGTAGGAACTATTATAAATAAAGGCTTGCATTAGATCTTGCAACTTGGCCTGGTCCAGCCTGACCTATAAAAATTTGCAGGTTAGGCTGAGTCTGAAGCAAAATATTATAATTGCAGGCCAGGCCAGGCCAAAAAATTTGCAAAACTTTATAATTGCAGGCTAGTATGAGCCTAAAAATTTGTAAAATTATATAAGAAATTTTTGCGAACTAGGCCAGACTGAAGAAAAAAGTTAACATATGTGGGCTGGGCTAGACTAACAAAAAAATGGTAACCCTAAATACAGGCTGAGCCAGGTCTAAAAAAAATTTTTAACCTTAACTGCAGACCAGGCTGGGTCTCAAAAATAGGCAATTTGCAGACCCTTAACCCTAGAGTGGAGTATCAATACAGTTTATAGTCAAAAGCTGTTTATTAAAGTAATAACAAGAAGAGCTGTCTTTAGGTTTCTGTTCTTAAAGAATTACAAGATATGTTTACAATATTAAAGAGAAGAGAAGTGTTTGTTGCTTAATCACACTTGGAGAATTTAGTAGAATTTATATATCTGTAAGCTAAGCAGCTAAGTAACCAAGTGACTAAATGATTAAGTAACTAAGTGACTAAGCGTTAAGTGACTAAGCAACTAAATAACCAAGCAACTAATTAATTACTAAGTGATTGAAAGATTCTAGCAACTAATGACTAATGATTACTAAGTAACTAATTACTAAGTAACTAAGAAACTAAGTGGCTAAACAACTAAGCAACTAAGTGACTAAGTGACTAAGTGATTACTAATTAACCAAAAAGTTCTAGCAACTACTAGTAATAATAATAATACAATAATAGAATAACTAATACTAAATAATAATAATAATAAAATAATAATAATAACTAATAATAATAAAATATTATAATTCATTCTATAACGCTGTGAAAAAAAACAAAAAAAAAACAGAATTTATTTAGTACTATATTTATCAGAGATGAAATTTATTATAGTATGTTTTAATTATAAGTAACCTTTATTAATATTAATCTATTTGGATTAAACAATTATGTTAATATATATAAGAGTAAATAAAGAGATAAAATTTATATAGTTTGAACTTAACTTTTTACAAGTTTGATTAATATTAGCAAGAGGTTAATATTAATATAATATTAATATTAACAAGAGATTGATATTAACAGAAGTTATCTGTATAATTATATAATTCATAGAACATTTTACTATAATTTTTTAAGTTAAAATTAAACTTTAGGATTAGGATAAAAGGCTTAAATTGGCAATTAGATTTTTTTGAAATGCTGAACATTTTTATGTAATAAACCAAATACAGTAAAACCTTCATAAATGCATGCTTTTGGAACTAAACTTTAACAATATGCACTTAAATAATCATAAAAAAAGTGTATTTAGAAAAGATGTGCACTTATAAAGATGCACTTATAAAGATTTTACTGTACCAATTGTCAAAGCTGTCTTTGAGAATAACATATTTAGTAGATTTTATTTCTAATAAAGAAAAAAAAATTAATATTAAAATAAGGTTTTTTACTTTTTTTGATCTAGCAACTACTTGTTTTGCTAACATTTAATTTGACAGCATTTAGTAAAATAATTCAGATTTATTGGCATTATAAATGTTTTTTAATTCATATTAGGCAAAAAGTTGTTAAAGTTTTTTTTTGCATTAGGTAGAAATTCTAAAAAAGCACTTGCAGCTTTAACATAAAGTTTATATTTGCATAAAAAGTTTTTTTTTTATAATTAGTTACTCACCTATTTGAGAATTTTAGTTTATTCTCTAGAACACCAAAAAGTTTTTTGAACTTGTAATCTTTTAATTTTACTAACTCATCTGAAAGAACTAGACCTACAGCCAAAGCCTAATCAACCCAAATATTTATTGTATTTTTAATTAAAGAAAATTTTGGTCTTCTGTTTTTGTAATTATTTTGTATTATAGCATTCTTCTTAAGATACAAATACTAATCTTTTTTTAAAAAAATTTTAAAAATGATTGATCGCTTAAGACTTAATTCAGAATATTTTTTTGTAAATTCTTTTGTAATATCTTGATACTTGGCCAACAGATTTTTATTGGCATATTCACAAATTTGTTTGTGTTCAGTATTACTTAGTTGGCTGTATGTTTTTTTTGATAATAAACTAGAAAGTATTAGAAAGTTTTAATAGCAAACTCAAACTTTTAAGATTGGTTTTTTATAAAAATTTAAAGATAAGACAATGAGGCTATTATTAATTATTTTTTTATATTTTAACTGACAGTGCTACAATAACATGTTTTTTTTTTATTAAAAAAGATTCTTTTTAAAAAAATTTTTAAAAAAAATTTTATTTAAAAAAATTTTTTCATTTCTTCTATTTAAGCTAATTACTTATTTAAGCACTAAACTATAAATTTTAAAGACTTTGGACTATGCAATAGAATATTTAATATTTCTTTTTTTAAAGCTATTCTAAAATTTTATACATTTATGCATTATATCTGATATTGGAATAGATGGCACTGCTTTATTAAAAAAATCATACCTAAAGCTAAAGTGAAGGCTTTAGTAAAATGTAATAGCTAGATTATAACTTAAAACATGAACTGAATTATAACTTCTATATTAATGAGAATATGTACTTATGTGATACCAAAAGAAAACTAAACTTTAGGGCTTTAGACATACTAGACTTAGCTTTTAAAAAAAAATTTTATTAATATTATATAATACATAATCAGATAAGTTTAATGAATTATAAGTTTAAAAGTCTGAAGTTTGGTTTTTTCTTGATGCTATTTATTTGAAGTAATTTTTTTTACAGATTAATTTGATTAGTTTATGTTAAGTCTTAGCCTTAAGTTATAGCACTAAATAGAATCTAATTATTTAACTATAGTTCAAGCTAATTAAGTTATGCTAAGCTATAGCTTTAGATTATAGTACTAGATTAAATTTACTTCAAGTTGTGGCTTCAACTAAGCCTTTACTACTTTAAAATTTTAGTTGTTTTTTTTTTAAAAAAATTATTACTTTGTCTTTTTATTGTTTTGCAATTTTGAATATAATGTTATAAAGAAACTATATACCAAGCTTTTGGACTTATTAGCTAGATTTAATTATAGCATATAATTAAAAATACATATTAATTTGCTAAAATTAAATCAAATATTGACTCTATATATTATACAATGTATAATATTTAATTAGCACTAACAAATTAGCAGTTTATAATAATAACAGCTTTTATAATATTAACAATTTTGATAATAAAAAAAAATTAGCAATCAAACATTCTAAAGCATGATAGTAAAAATACTAAAAATATACTAAAAATATTTTATTTTGTAATCTGTTATAGATCCTTTAATTTAAACACTTTGAACTCTAATTGTTATATATTCTATATATCTTTCTATTACTTAATTAAAATCTGCTTTATTAGAGCTTTAATAAGTTAATGATAATAGTAACTGATTATTATAACATTACTAAACCTGTCTTTCTTTCTATAGTAGACAATTATTAAAATTAATCAAAAAAATTTAGAAACCTTGAACATCTAATTGTAAAATTAGTTGATAATATAATAAATCATATGAGTGCCACTATAAGAAAAGAACACCTTGGCAATTATAGTATTTTACTAAACAATTTTGAGTTCAGTAACAATACAAGTTAGGTTTTCAATTATACAATATAACATATAAAAATTAATCATGATTTATACTAAATTTTTACATTAATAGTATAAAATTAAAAGTCAGGTCTGTGCTGTTGCTGAATTTAATAATTGATTAATAATATATTATAATTGCTGAGATGTCTTTTTTTTGATAGCATTTTTAATTAAGTTCTCAAAAAGAATTAGAACCATATTTGGCTTTTAGATTTAATAATTTCTTTTCAATCAAATTAAATTTTAATACAAACCTGAATTTTTCAAATTTCAAGATAAATATAACCTATAATATAAACAAATTATTTGGCTATCTGTAAAATTTTTATTATAATAAATAATATAATAAACCTGTTGTTTTTAGATAATTAAATACTTTTGTTACCTATTGCTATATGTATCATTATATGTATTCGAATAAATATGTATATAAGTACTTCTAAAACATCTAACAAAAAATTGATTAACTGAATATTTGCAATTCAATAAGTTTGTAATTTTGGTAATAGTCACTATCAAATTAAAACTTATTAAATTAGAAAATATTCAGTTAGGCAATTTTTTGCTAGTTGTTCTAGAATTTATAAAAACAGTTTTAATATGGTGCTAGTATTTATTTATTACTTTTTATCATTATAGCAATCAAGTAGATTACTTAAATATATAGAATATCAATATAATAATTTAAATTCAAAGCTAAATTACTGCTGTTTTTATAAATTCTAAGACATCTGACAAAAAATATACTGTTTTCATAAATTTTGAAATATTTAATAAAAAACTAATCTATTGAATATTTGCTGATTTGATAAGTTTTAATTTAGCAGTAACTATTACTGAAATCATAAACTTATTGAATCAGCAAATATTCAGTTAGTTAAATTTTTGCCAAATATTTTAGAATTTATAAAAATAGCTAAATATTTGTTAATTTAATAAGCTTGTGATTTTAATAATAGTTATTACTGAATCAAAACTTATTGAATTTGCAAATATTTGGTTAGTTAATTTTTTATCAGATGCTTCAAAATTTATAAAAACAGTTGTGAAAAAATTCAAGGTTGAATCTTATTTTAGAGAATTAAAATATTAGATTCAATTTAAAACAAGGCAAATATTAAATTTTTATTGTTAAGTTATTTAAAAAATTTTGTACTATATAGAGAAAATTAAATATGGTTAGTTATAAAAAACCATATAATTGTGATTATATAAAAGTTAAAATAATATAAATTTAATTGGTAAAAAAAAATTTATAACTATATCAAGTTTGTAATTATATTAAAGATGACTATAACAGGTTTGACTGTATTTTTAAAAATTATTTAAATCTGACAAAATTTTTTTAATAAAATTTAAGTATTTTTATTGCCAAAATTATATACAAAAGTATTTTAAATAACAAACTTTTTACAAAACTGCTTAAATTAGACAATAATTAAAGCTATATAAGTGGCTAGTTATATACTTTTTTTATAATTGCTTTCTGTAGTTATAATGCAACTATTAGCTAAATATATTATCAATAAAATTTTAGATTACAAGTACTTATCTTAATAATTAAAAAAATAGATATATATTGTATTATAAACTATAGATTTAAAATTTATTTGAGGTGTAGTAATCTAGTGAAGTAGTTAGGTTGTCAACCTTCTAAGTAGTAGTAGGTTAGGTGTTCAAATCCTATTAATAATAAAAATTTAGATAATCACCTATATAATATTTGTATTATAGCAACTGTTATTAATAATTAGGTTAAGATATCTGTAATGGCAGTTGCACTAGCATAACTGGCAGATTATGGAGCATCTGTGCAATGTTAGAGTTATACAAAAAAATGTAAACTAACAAATTGAGCAGTACAAATACTAGATAAATCCTTGTGACTATATAAATCTGTTGAAATTGAGTAACAAGAAGTTTATTTAAAAAGACCTAAATAGAAAAGTAGCTAGATTTTTAATAGTCCTATTGTAAAAACTAGCTTGGAAAAATGGATATCAAGATAATAGTACCTAGTCATAGTAGCTAGACAGGCAAGAATCTCTAAGTTAGGAGTCTTAAAAATACTACCAACTAGGCCAAAATGAATCAGAAGAAAAAGATATTAAGCCAACCTGATATATCAATAGACTGATTATAATTTTATATAAGCTATTTGGATTAGGAATTTAGTAAAAAGATAGGTAAAAAGTCAAGAATATACTAAAGTACTAGGATTATGCTATAAAGTAGATGTTAGATTTTAAGTAAACTCTATAAAAGCATAGCAGTTTAATGATTAAGCCCTAACTATAAGTATTAGTTCTGCTATAGTAATATCTAAATTAGTTGTAAAAATAGATACAGAAGGCTCTAAAGAGTTACCTTGAGGATAAAATAGTTCTAAGGTTGAGATGATGATTTGGGCATTAGGTATAATTCAGTAAAATTAACAGATTTGCAGATTCAAAGGATTTAAAGTAGAATATCTAAGCAGAGATGTTAGTAGAATTGTTAATAAGTTGGGTTGGATTAGGTTAAACAACTTCTCAACCCACTTTAACTTGAGTTGGGCTTACTTTAAAGCCATTTTAGGTTTGCTTAAAGCTGCTTCAGTTTACTTCAGTTTCATTTTAAATTTTTAGATATATCTTTAATCTATTTCAACTTGAGTTAAACTCATTCCAAAGTGGCTTCAGAGTATGTCATTCTATTAACAATCCTAGGTATTAGGCAGTGTTGTTATATCTACTATGTTTAAGATTTTTTTTAACCATATCCAACATCCAAATATCCAAATATTCAAGAATGTCTATAGCATATACAAGCTTTAAAAATTAATTTATTAATTTAAAAAATATATAATTATATATTTTTAATAATGCTAAATATTTTTACTTAAAAAGTTAAAATAAGGTAACTTAATACAATTTTGAGCAAATTTAATTTATTTATTTGTCCAAAAATGTCTAAAAGTGTTTAAACTTATGTCTATAACTGTTCTGTGACAACACTGATATTAGGTACAGCAATTAGTAAGAAACTTTAGGCAGACTTCTTAAATAGATAATATAAAAAAGTTATATATATAGCCAATTGTATGCTTTTCTTGTAATAGTTCACTGAATTATATTTATTATTATTAAATAAAGTTAAAAGATCTAAGAGGTCACCTTAACACCAAAAAAAAAAAAATTTAAAGAGTTGATCAGTAATATATCTATAAAAATGTCTGCAAAAAACATATACAATCAAGCTGCAAATCAAACCAACTATAAAAATACAATTAAAAAAAGTATATAGTAATTGCAGATTAATAATTTAAAACTTAATAAATTTAGTTATACTAATAAGATATCAGAAAGTATATAAAACTGTATATATTAAATTGGTAACAGTAAAATAAAAAAACTAAAGAAATTAATTAATTTGAAAAAAGAAAAAGTTATTACAAAAAGTAGACAAATAGGCTATATTTAAGTTAAAAAATAAAAAATAATAATATAACAAGATATCTACAATCTTACTAAAAACTAGTAATAATAATTAAAATAGCATTATAAAAATATAAGTAAATATAAATATAATTATATATTAGATGTCTAGAGCAAATAGTAATTTAGTAGTACAAATATAATATAGCTATATATAATAGTAATGCAAAAAGCTAATAAAGTATAAGTTTATAATTTGGCATTATAAAAAAATTATATATATAGATAATGCAAATTTAAAATAAGTTCTTGTAACTATATAAATTTGTAAAACTGAAAAAACAAAAACCTATTTGAAAAGATCTAAATAAAAAAATAATACAAATATTTAACAGTACTACTATAAAAACCAAATCTAGAAAATAAATATTAATATAAAAAAATCAAATAGACAAGAACCTCTAAGCAAAAGGTATTACTAACCAGACTGCTAAATTTCAAATTAGAAAAAAAATATCAGATTAAACTTAATATATTAAAAACAAATCACAGTTCTACTAAGCTATTTGAATTAGATATTTAAAAACAAAGTATATATATATTAAAAGTACTAAGAATATGCTATGAATTGATATTAGAGTTTGAATAAACTTTGTAAAGCATAGCTTTATTAATAATCTATAAAGTAAGTAAATTAGTTAACAGAAAAGCATCTTGAGTCTTACAGTCAAATAATATGCTTTAAAACAAATAACAGCTTAATAGTTATATAAAAAAGAAGACTAAATATTAAGTTAAACAGTACTTAAATATATAAAGCTCGAAGATAATAAATGATCTAATTATTTGCTTATTTTTTAAATAATTTAAAATAACTTTAAAATAATTAGTAATTATAATCATTTAAATTGCAACAAATCTAGATTACTGATAAGCAAGCAATATATATAGTAAATACTATAATTTTTATAAAAATCATATATCAAATACAAAATACAACTTTGTTAACAACAACTTGCAAACAAATAACAAATAAGTATACAAATATTATAAAACACAAAATCAAACTAGCATCAAGCATACCTAACTCAACAATATATTATTATAGAATATATAGACTTAGAATATAAAAAATATATAAACTTAACAACACATATTAGTAATAAGTTACTTACTTAATTATTCTTTATTCAGTACATTATTATTTAAAATATAATTACAATAGCTACAGAATGTAGTTGCAATAAACAAATCAATTCTATCTTTATATTCAAAAACCTTTTTAACAACAGAAGCATATACAACAATAGCAATAATTATTAATATCTGTTATATAAACAATATTGCATTCAATAATCAAGTTAATTCATAGCCAAAACTACTAATAACAATAGACACTTCAATTAACATTATTCTAAACAACATGTCAATAATATGCAAGATTAAAAATATACTAGATAAGATAAACTTACACTATATCAAACAATTATTACAAAGAGATCAAACTTTAATTTGAACATAGTATGTTCTAGCATATATAATATAAAAAATACTAAGAGGCAGACAATCAAAATGGTTTAACAAATTAATATCAACAACAAAAGACTGACTTTAATATAATTGCATAATGCTTATTCAACCAAATCTATTTATTATAAAAAACACTATATCTAAAAAGAAGAAGTAAATAATATACAAATACAATATGATTAAAGAAATAACAAGTATAAACAAAAAATATATAAACATTTAATATTAGGTTTAGAATAACTCAGACTAACTGTAATTATGCCTAGACTGCAATTACTCTAACAAAAAACTAAAGAATAATAAATGCAAAATAAAAATACAACAATTTGCTAGAATACTTAGAATACAAATTAATTGTAAAAAGCAACTAAAAGTTTAAAAAAACAAATATAATATATACAAATGAAGAGAACAGAGAAAACAAATACAAAATATTAAAATTAATTTAACTAAATACTAATATTTTTAGAACAAATTATGACAATATTGATGAAACAATATCAGATCTAAAAGTAAAAAAAAGAATATAAAACTTGCATAAACAAATAAATAGTCTACAACTAAAAAATTTTGAAATGACATTAAATATATAAACAAAAAATATTGATAATACACCAATAATAACTACATACTAGTAGATAACAAATAATAAAATTCAGCTATATTATACAACTAACAACTGACTATCAAACTAAAAAACATTATACTATACAATATGCATAATTCTAGTACTCTTACAAAATATTAATATAAATATACAGTGCAATTACAGGTTTGTAATATATATGATATAATTAGTAAAAGATATTCCAAGTAATAATATAACACAATTACTTAGAACAAATAATGATAATGAATAACTAATACTGAAAACATTAGTTGCAAGAAAAAACATATTATAGTCAATACAATATAATTAATATACAAATAAACCTACAATAAGTATAAACCTGTATCAAACTGATATTATATATACAAATATAAGAAATAATATATTTACAATAAGTTAAAAAAAAAACAATTAAGTATACCTCAAAATGTTTTATATGACATATTCAAAATATACAACAAATAGCAATATAGCATTTACAAAATCAAAACACCAAATAGGATCAAATACAAGAAAACATAAACTGAAACAACTTATATAACTATATAAACTATAATGAAAGTCTAACAATACAAAGCATAAATCTCAAATATTCATTGATTAAATTATTTAAACTAAAACTTATCTTAGATGAACTTCTTACACAAATAAACTTACACAAATGATATCTAAAAAACACATGTTACAAGACTGTTATAAATGTAATAACAAATATAAAACAAATGTTTACTGACTTACTTGTTATAAAAACAAAATAAAATTGTAAATATTAGTTAAAAATATAACAACAAAAGCATTACAAAAGTACAAGACACTTATTGAACCTAACCTATAACTGCTAACAAATATACTTAAACCAACAACACATAATGCTTCAAATCTGAATCTAACAATACTAACAATAACAGATCAAAACACAATAAATCAAGTCAATAAATTAGTAACAGATTACAAAGAAAGACATAATTTTTTCTGTGTTATATATTGCACAAAATTATAAATAACATATACAAAGAACTATGGATACCATGATGCAAAAAAGTAGCAGAAATTACCCAATGCAGAAAAAACAAGAAAACAAACCAAAAAGAAAAGAAAACGATAAACAAATATAAGAACAAATAGACAATACAACAGTAATAAATCAAGAAACAGGGACTAATTGAGCAATAAACAAAATTAATAAATGGATCCCACTATTTCAAAAGCACAATACTCCTCCAGCCATCATCGACAATATCATAGACTAAGTGAGGTTTTTGACTCTGCTTAGCAAAGTATGGGCCGTAGGTAAAGCAGCCTAAGTTTTAGTTTCATTAGAAGTAATATAGTACTACATGTAATTATCGATGTACTACATATGTTAAAATTCAATAAAGAAACTGAGGCAAGACCTCGCTTTTAAAAAAAAAAATCTAACCATTATTTTACCGGCAATCAGTTTTCGAAGTCGTGTAGCCAACAAAAAATCCGGCTTCCATATTTTCTTGGCGACGCTATGTAAATCGGCCTTATGTAATTTTTCTTTTTACATTAAGCAAATCGACTTCATTTATAATTGAAGAATGTCAATCATGTCAAATTTTACATGAATCTAATAAAAACACATTTTTCGAAAAATTGTTAAAAATGGGCCCTGTGACACCCCATATTACGATGCGCTGGTGAAATGCTAATTTATTTGTTACAAAAAAGAATTGAGTATTTATTTTTTAAATTAAACATGATTACTTTGCTTTTTTTTTTTTTTTTGCACCATATTCGTGCATAATGACTTTATTACTTAATTTCAAATATCACTGAAATGCATAATCAGTCATAAAAATTTTTTACACTTTTGAAAATTTTATTATAAATTAAAAAATGCTAGATAAAAATGTAACCAATAAGTAGTGGTAATCTACAATTCGCATATCCATTTTCTTGGAAAGGGTTCAGAAATATATAACAAGTTCAGGGTTGTTCGAATCATTGGTTAACCAAAAATTTCCTGGTCAATGATCAATGGCCTCTAGTTAAACTAGTCAAATAGACTATCAATTAAATAATTTTACTACATAAAGATGTATACATAATTATATATTTATAGTACATATACCACATATATAATTTGACCAGCAATGAACTCTGGGCCAGACCGGATAAATTGGTCAGGTCAAGATTAACTAGTGACCATTCTCTGCCAACCCTGAATAATGGAATCTATATAATGCTCTAATACTGAAGGTAGCAGGTCCATGTTGTTTCATATAGTGTTATTTATAGATGTCTCGTCCCATTTTAATAATTTATTTTTTTAACAATCTTTGTAAAATTCCATGAATTTCTTGAGGAGGTTTTTTATTATAATCATCCCATACTTCGTATAATGATATTATTTCTTGGACAATATCGATAATCTATAATAAATTAATTATTATTTATTATAATTAGACATGAAAATTAAAAGGATATAAATTCTAAATTACCTGATCCAGATCAACATTCAATAATGCGAACCATTGCCTTATATCCTTCACTTTAGTAGCCTCGTTATTATTATTGCCATTATTAGTGGCAGCAGAAGTAGCGCCTCTTTTAGCACCTCTAGTAGTGACACCTTGTGCACTATTACCATTTGAAGCATTGTTATCAACGTATTGATCGCCTCCTTTAAGTGCAATAGGTAAATAAAGTGCAGCGGTAGCAATTACATATGGTGGATACAAAAGACACATATCTGTCTTGTACGTATCATTTACGATAAACCAAGCTCTCTGCACATCTTCATTCTTTGTGCCAAGATCTTGTGCTAGTGTTGTTAACGCTCGGTATGGATGAAATACAATCATATTAAAATTTAATTCTTCAAGAAGATAAAACTCCATTTCTGCCACCTTATGATTTTCGTATTGGAAGCCACCCTTATCTTATAAAATTGGTTACAATTCAATTAAATCAATTAATCAATTAAAGTAAATTATAACCTACCTGCAGTTACGTGTTTCATTTCTGTAATAACACTCTTGATGTGATGTGGCGATTCCTCTATTTTACATGCTAGATACATACAAGTAGCTGCGACTAGATAAGGTTCACTTCCTCTATAACTATTCCTAGTATAATGGATTTTGAATGTCAGCATATATCATAATTCGAACGACAATAGAATAATAATGAAATCAATACTTTGTGTAGAATCGTTTAAAATAAGTTAATGCGGTGGCAATAATAACTTGTCTCACCCCGAGACTATTTCCTAGCTCAGTCATTACTATTTGAACAAAATTCTTAGAATCAGAAGAAACGAAAAGCAGCAGTTATAATTAATTATCTTAGACTTTTAATAAATATTCATACATTTGGCAAACCATATGTTGACTTTCGTCAATTCAAGCGAAGTGATATACTTCAAGTCTTCCTTCCTGCTTTCCTGAAGTTGCTGCCTGCTAAGCAGCCATTGCTTTCTAAAAGAGATGTCGAATAAAGTCAGACAGTAAATTAAAATTGAATCCCGTTAGATCATTGAAACTTGACATTCCCGTTACCCATGAGAAGAAGCCCAAAAGTTGGCGGCCATAATGATATTAGTTGTCAACGCCCGATATTATCCCAAATATAGTAAATCAACAAACTTTTTTTATAACGAATCGAGAATGGTTCATGTGAAATAATGAAACGTTACGTAACTAATATAAGATACTGGGTGACAGATAAACTTTAAGTCTTGATGAAAGTAGTAAAATCATCTCGTTGTGCAAATGTTACACGTATGCACGTTAACGTAACTGCAAAATTCAATTCTACTCGCCGCGCTTAAAAGGTTGTTGCATTAAAAAAAACGTTAAGCCTTTGTCTAGATTTACTTAACTCTTCAGATTACGATAATGGTAAGCTGCTGACTGCATTGCGAAAGTGAAATTTTGTGTAATAAATCGGTAATACAGGTCGAGAACAAACCACCTAACAATAATTTACAAACTTTGACAAAATGGAGTTTATTGATAAGAAAGAAACTTTGAATTTTACTATTCCACATATTTTCTTAAATATTTATTGCTTCTTAATAAACGAAAATAAGTTTCAAAAGTTCATCGGGGCCAACTCGTTTTAACATCTGGTTTCATAACTTCACAATTTTTCCTTTAATAGGACCAACTAACCGAGGAACAAATTGCAGAATTCAAAGAAGCCTTCTCCCTTTTCGACAAAGATAATGATGGTACTATTACAACTAAAGAACTTGGTACTGTTATGCGGTCTCTTGGTCAAAACCCCACCGAAGCTGAATTACAAGATATGATTAACGAAGTAGATGCTGATGGCAACGGTACAATTGACTTTCCTGAATTCTTAACCATGATGGCTCGTAAAATGAAGGATACTGATTCTGAAGAAGAAATCAAAGAAGCTTTCAAAGTTTTTGATAAAGATGGCAACGGTTTTATTTCCGCTGCTGAATTGAGACATGTCATGACCAACCTTGGTGAGAAGCTTACTGACGAAGAAGTCGATGAAATGGTAATTTTAAATATCAATTTATTTAATTCGGTATATTTCTCAAATATTGATTCATATACATTTTTATAGATTCGTGAAGCTGATGTCGATGGTGACGGTCAAATTAACTACGAAGAATTTGTTAAGATGATGATGACCAAGTAAAATTTAGAAGAATAACTAAATCATAATATATCAATATGTGTGACCAGCGAAAATGTATAAAATATATTGTGGCTATTTCTATTCCATACATTTATACACCATTGTCTCTTTCAGTGATCACCGCGTATTAGACATTTCCTCTTCTCTACAATGATATTTATGTTATTTTGTTTGAAGGCCGAGTCGCTAGGTTTTTTCAATTTTTACTTTAATATTTTTTTTTTTTCGGTAATGTATTCATTTTTTATATATGCAAACTTTCTAAAAAGAAACTAAAAGTGAAATATGTGTTAATATTGCAAACAAGTTACACCTTTAATAACATGAATACTATATATAAATTTTATTGTCTATTTAAATTGAATCTGAATTATACTCGTTGATAAAATCCAAAATTAATTGGCCCAACAATAATATTTTTTTTATTCAATTTTTTATAACAGCATTTGTTTGGAACTGGTTATCGTATTATAACCTATTATAACCGGTTATATTCCACGCCCTATATGTTCACCCGTGAACATTTCTGATGATATTTGCACTCGACCAGGTTTGTGGCGCAGACGAAATTCTTAAGATTAGGGTTAGGTTCATGGGAAATAATTTATATAGTAAAATTGTTCAAAGAATGCTTTTTGTTAGAGCACAAAAGATGTTTTTAAGCCGATTTTTGAGTTATAGGCGATTTTTGGCGGAACAACGTTTAGTGTAGGGGGCACGGGACGTTGGGGTGATCATCATACTAACATCGCATATCGATGTCTAATTTTTTTTAAAAAAAGATAGAGCAAATTGTATGCTTTAATGTAATAGAGCCATTTTTTTTATTTCCGCTATTAGTAGTATAAAATAGCATAAATCGAAAATATACAATTTGCTCTATCTTTTAAAAAAAATTAGACATTTAATTATTATACTAGTTCAAGAGAAAAGTGTACCGAAAGTTGATATTATCCGCAGTAAATTCGATTTTCACAAAATTTATCATATCGATATGCGACCCTAATTAATGCTTGATTTTACTAGTATGATGATCACCCCAACGGGACGTGATTTTAAAATATCATATGGGCACAGGATGTGATGGTAATTCGACAAGTGAAATGGTAGTATAATACCAGGTATAATACTGTACACTGGCGATCATAAACGCAATTCTGGGTGTATTGCCAAAGATAGGCGGGCATTAGAGTGTCCAGGATTATAATTCCTTACGGCACATAAAATATGTAATTTCGCATAATTCAAAGAAATTCGCATAATCTCGCATTCTCAGGTTTGAAGAAATTTATATTGGTCAATTGGAGTTACACGGAATCTTGTGAATTTAGTAAATTAGGTTAGGAACAGAATCTTACAATTTGGTTAGGGTTCGAAGATATTATTTCACAAAGAAATTTTCTATAATATGTAAAAGATGGTTTTATAGTCTATATTTTGGACTGTAATAACTGAGTTTCAGGTTTTCTTGTGTGTAACGAGACCAATTTACAAAATATTGATAGATTCACAAAAATATCCAAAAATTTAGTCTGTGCGGGTGGGAGTGATATAGATAGACGAAAATTCTGTAGATATGTGTGGGAAAATTTATTTCAAAAATCTAGTATAATAAAAGAGAATCTCGTATATAGCAATAGTGATAGAAATAAATTAGGTGTAGAAGTTTATAAAAAGTCTGAGAAAGTAAAGAAATAACTTAATGCTGGGATTCGCATTAGGGCCTGGTAGGGTCTGCAAATTTTCTATTTTTGTGGCTCGCATTTAGGGTTAAAAGTTTTTTGCCGGCCCGCAATTATAAAAGTTTGCTTCAGGCTTGACCGGGCCGGGCTGTGGGACCCAATGCAGTCCTCTAGGGTCTAGGATCCACGTACTTACTTCCTCATAGCATTAAATATTTTCACTAATTATATGTCTTGCATTATGTCTTTTTTTTAAAAAAAATATTAAGATAAGTACTTGTAATCTAGGATTTTATTGATAGTATATTTGACTAATAGTTGTATTACAATCACAGGGAGCAACTATGGAAAGAGTGTACAATTAATCACTCATACAATTTTAGTTATTGTCTAATTTAAGTAGTTCATCTAAAGGTTTTACACTAGTTGTCATACCTGGAACCTGCTTGTAGATTCTCTATTTAAATTCTCTAGTTTTTATATTTACCTATTTACCTTTGTCAACCAATAACTTTGATCAATGTTGGTGAAAATATATCAAAATCATTAAGTTTTTAAAGCAGTTTATTCACATGAGAAATCCTTGACTTTATATTAAATCTTTTAAAATCTTCTATATTCTATTCTTACAGTTGACTCAGTATTGCTATAGTCAAGATTAACACTTGCAGTTAAGGTATATCATTAAATTGTTATGTTTTTGTAGAGTTTATTTCAATCTCAATACTGATTTTACAACATATCCTTATTACTTTAGTATTCAATTTAAGTTCTATCAAGCTATCAATTTAGATAGCTCAGAAAAGTAGATTATAACCATATATCTTTAGTTTACATATTCTCTGACATATACTTTTTTTCTTCAAAATTCAGAAATTCTAATGATTGATTAATTCATTTAGTTTCTTTCTAAAGATTAGTACATTTGTTTAATTTTATGAATTTTAACTCTGTTTTATAGGTTTATACAGGTCAAATAAATAAATAAAGGGTGAATAATAGATAAATAACAGAAAAAAAAACTGCCATTATTTTATTCTATATCTGTCAAATAATGGTAGCATAATAGCAGCATAACAGCAGAATAACAGTAAAATAATAGGAGGTTTGTCAATATAAGTAACATAATAGTAACATAATAGTAAAATAATAGAACAGTTCTATTATTTTATTTTTAGTTACAAAGACTAAAAGTAAAATAATAAAACTGTTCTATTATTTTGCTATTATATTACTATTATGTTACTTATATTGACAAACCTCCTGTTATTTTACTGTTATTCTGCTATTATACTGTTATTATGTTACTATTATTTGGCAGATATAGGATAGAATAATGGCAGTTTTTTTTTCTATTATTTACTTATTATTTATCTTTTATTTATTCATTTGATCTGTGCTAGTCTTTATAATAGTATTATTAAAAGTTCAAATTACTTCTTTACTCTAGTTTTCCAAATAGGTTTCTATCTTTTTACTTAGTTTTTGTGATTTACATAATTTAAGAACTTATTATAGGTTTACATTGCCTAGTACCAGTTTGTGTTTCTTTATTAATATTATACAAAATGTTTGGATCTTTTAGTCATACTAATATGATACAAGTTACAGATATTTAATTCTAATCAATCACAGAAGACAGTTAACTGTAATATAGAAAAAATTATAAATTTTTATCATTACTAAGATTTGAACTCTAAACCTGCTATTTGAAGGTTGACAACCTAATTACTTTACTAGGTTGTCATATTTTATTTTATATTATATCTAAAAAATCAATAATATAGAACTAATATATATATATGTTGTATCCTAGATTAGAATTCTTCTAATTCAGAATTCAGTTATTCTAATTCAAAATTAGAATAACCCAATTTAGAATTCTTATATAGATTACTCAAATCAAATTTTTTTTTTTTTTTTTTAACTTAAGCAGTCATGCTAGTACTTTATTAGAATTCTTAAAACTATACAAATTACAGAGAATTTTTCTAATAACTAAGTCTAGCATTACCCGGCCACCTTATTGGTACCTAAGTGTGACCTGTTGCACTACCTCAAGCAGAGGTAGGCTGCTTGTCAGACTGCCACCCTACAATAGGATACCACCAATCTGATGACATCTTCTTGTAAGAAAGCAAAAAAACAAAAAAAAATTTTATATGTAAAAAAAAAATAGAGATATAGAGGTAAATGATAAAAGATACAAAACAAGAAATAAAAGGAGGAAGGAAAAATATGAAAAAAAAGAAAAGTGTAAAATTTGCAATTCACAAAAAATCAGATGGTCATGATTTTAAGCTTGTGTTGAATGTGAAATTTGCAATTTACAGATATCAGACAACTACAATTATAAGCCTGTGTTGGACTTGTAAAAATTATAAACTATACTAAATAGAAATTACTCTACTATCTTTCTATTTACTTAGATTATTTAAACAAAAATCAAAAAAGAAAAAAAAAACTTCAACTTTATTATAGAAGGTCAGTATAAGGTACTGGTTAGTCTGGAGGCAGTATTTGACAGGTTTCCAGCAGTTCAAGACATATATATAGTCATGTTTGTATTGCTGTATTATTTCCGATTCATGTCGTAAACAATCCTGTTTAGGAAGTAAATACTACTGACTGTTTTAGTGATTTTACATGTCGATCTTTAGAAGGGAGTAAACTGAATCATCCACTTTTACAAAATTTTTTTCGAAAAAAAAGTGAGAGTGCTAGGTGAACCAACTTTTTAGCTTTTGTGAGTTCTTAACCCTTGTGGGTATTCCTTGTAGGTTTTACAATTGTATAGAACTAATATATCCAACTTTGTTGTTTACTTAATAAAGAATCTTGGCTTTCACTGACTATTTCTTCTATAGTCCTAGAGTGCTCTTTAAACCGTTACCACAAGGCTGCGACTCTTTTTCAACTCTATTTCAATGTCCAACAATATGTGTACAGTACTCCAGAAAGGTTTTTATAAAGTTTAATATATTAACTATATCATTTTCTGTAGTTCGGCTTTTTGGAAAGTTTGGTTCAAATGATCATCGGAAAGAGTTGCTGTTAAATCAAAAATTACTTTTACATAGTATTAATTATATACCAATATATGAATATTATATTAACCTAAACATAATCAATATGCTAAGTAGTTCTATTTTTTTTTTTTTTTTTAGTAAAGCTATTTTTATTAAAGATGCATTATAATCTTTAAATAATATTATTAATTAAAATATACCTTATATAAATAAAAAGATTATTATTTATTAAATAATAATTCTTAAAATCAAATTTTCTATTTTTAATTAAATTAACTTTTTTTTTTTT